GCGTGCGCCATTCCTTCACTGCCTTACGACCATTCTGTCCACTGCATTTTATGTTTTACCTCCTCGCTTCAGCGCTGTTGCATTTTATGGTTGTGCGTACGCACAAAAATATATGTTCTCACATAATTATTTACGATTTCACATTATCATGCAGCATTGCCATAATTTTTTTTTTTTGCTGCTTTCTTCATTGCACGTTTTCACTTTTCGCTGCATTAACTTACGCGCGCCTACGAGTAAGTATGTATGTATGTAGTAGGTACTCGTACGTCATCAACTCGCTCATGGCTCTTCAATCAGTTGATTTTTCTTGTATTCATTAATTTTCTTCTCTTCTTCGATTAAGTGTTTTTTTTTTTGTATTTGTTTTTATATTTAGTAGTAGTTGTTGCTTTTGCTGACTTTTACACCGCAAAATTGTGCTACTGTGCGCTAATGTCAATACTTAGCGATCGTTCAACTGACATTATCGTCAGCATCGACAATAGCAATGGCGACAACAACAACAAAAACCACAACAACAACAACAACACCAACAACTGACTGGCACATGGCTACCCATAACGATCGCAATCGATAATGAACATACTTAAATGGCGACTAGGCGATTGTGTATTTGTTTAGACTTGCAATAAACGTAATTACATATACATACATATGTATATACACACATACTTACTTATACTATATAGATTGACATTACCATACCACCATAGAGATGCCCCGCATATGACTAAGCACTCTTGTTCCGTTCCGATAATATACCAAGTTTGCCGCGCCATCTTAGAAAAGGAGTTAGATGTTCCAAAGCAATTGGAACTAGATTTTTTTTGTGCTTGTGGGCTTGTAATCCGCCATATAAAAATGTATTCCAATGAAAAGAAAAATAAGTAGTGCCCCGGATGAGACCTACATCTTTTCAGAATATGCACCAGGAATATCTGCCCCCTTAATCGGGAAGGCTGCAATGGACGGTGCAATGTAAGGAAATCGTAGAGCCTTGTAAAGGAGCTGAAACTTGGAGTTGGATTTGCATTTGGGGTGGGAAATACACTTTATCGCCAAGTACTGTCTCTCACCCCGGTGGACAAAATCTAAATCAAAGCGAAATTCTTCTGTATTTCTCTCGTTTGCACCCACGACGCTTTCGAGGAGAAGTACCAGCCGTCCAAAGATCTCTTGCAAGAGCGCTTGGAGCGTATTGGGAAATTAGCTTCCAAGACGAAACGTCCAATAATGGTCTGAGGCTGATCGATTTTTCAGTGGCCCTAAACATATTACTATGCAATACTAGTACCGACACAGTTATCCAGCGACGTAAAACCGGAGACCATGTGAGCTGACCCGACCTATCTTATGGGATTTGCGTGTTAACAAAAAACTCACCACCTCATGACAGTGACGTTTTCGTTTCTTCGCTCCCTCCCCGCCGACAGCAAATTTTTTCTGTGGATACGCGAGCTCTTGGGGCTCTGGAGGGAAAGACGCTTCCCACTTACTATATCATGTCAAGAACCGGGTTCACCACAAACCCCGCACGAAATTTCCCAGTCTTAATGACTTTACTCAAAGAAGCGTCCANCGGGCATGGTTCCACCTTAAACAAATTACCGCCTCAAATAACGCTTCCCACTTACTATATCATGTCAAGAACCGGGTTCACCACAAACCCCGCACGAAATTTCCCAGTCTTAATGACTTTACTCAAAGAAGCGTCCAATTCTTGGAGGGCTTAACTGTCTTTACGGACAATTCAAAGATGGAATGCTGGGTTGGTGCAGGCGTTTTCATTGATCAATATAATCTAATACTTTCGTTTCGCTTACCAGACCAAACAATTGAAATTAAGGGGAGTAAGGTACATAAAAGAGAATGCCCGCTCCAGAACGCAGATGAGTACCTTCTCAGATAGAGCTGCTTGGCTATCTCAGACACTCTCTTCAATCGCTTTTAAATCTATACTCGATTTCAGATCAAAGCGAAATTACCCTTATTTGGGTCCTAGGCCACAGGAACATTAACGGAAGCGAGGCAGCGGACCTACTAGCAAGGTGCGACTCCGCACTGAATGTGTCCCACGCGATGGACATGGGCGCCTCAATCAGGGAGATCAAAGAAGATCAGAGAATTTCCTAAATGTATCATTCGAAGGCTAGACAGAGGTGAAACCGTACAGGATCTTATAAGAATACCTGGCACTTTGGGGTATTCTACGACCCACTTAAAATCAGTCTTTTAGGAATGAGCAAAGCAAATACCTACAAACTCACATCAGTCTGCACAGGGCACTGGCCGATTTTGGTACATGTCGAAGCGATTGGCTTACTCTTCAATAACTTTACACTTAGCTGCGAGGACCCGGGCTCAAAAACGGCAGTCGAAGACTTTCTGTGCCAGTGCCCAGACCTACCAAGTATAAGGCTAAAGACACGCGGCAAACCATTCCTGCAGTAGGTTTCAGGACCAAGGCGAACTTCTATAAGAACAACCATGGCGATCTAGTAACCGATGTCCGGAACATACTTAAATTATGCAAAAGTGATCGATTTTTTTGAGTTATTTCCAAATTGATCTACCGCACGTAAGTCTTCGTTTTTTTCAGAAATATCAGAGCAGAAATTTTAAAATATAATATATTTTATCATTTCGATGGAAAACCCGCCTATTTTTCGGTGATGTACCCTAATGTACATATGTATATGTACATGTAAAATCCAAAAGTTTTTCGGAAACGCCTCTGATGATGTTGATGAAATTTTGCATTTAGACAATGACGTTTTGTACTTAAAATTATCTAGATCTACTCGAAATAAGTTACAAATTAATTATAATAAAATATATGATTATCAATTATAAAGTTTTTTAAAAATCCTCAAATCAGAAAAATGTTTGTATAGGGTTGCCACCTTTTTTCCATCGTATATAATTTTTCGTAATAAATTTTCTATCTTATAATTTTAACGAGCTTTTTTTGTAAGTGTGTAGTATGCATACATAAAGACACTCATAATAGTACTCTTCATCCCGCCGGTTTTCCAAATAGAGTTGCCACCTACTTTTTAATGAAAGATATTTTTTTAACTTGTTAGATATTAAAAGATAAATTGCTAAATTTATTTCCAAAATTTTCTTTTATGCAATTTGGGGTACTCGTGCAACAGTCAATATTTAGTAATGGCATACGACTATTGAAAACAACTCATAATTTAGCTCCCAAAGAAGTCATGCGGACAAAATTTAAATAAAATAAAATTATGTGAAAATTTTCAATTTACTGGCGATTTATAAAATATACCCAAAATATGTAAATTTTATTGCAGCTAAATCCGTAATAAATGAGAATAGCAAAAAACAAACACCGTTTTAACCCTTTTTTCAAACATTGTATGCGCTCGTTATTCTTAAATTGTTGCCCAGCTTTAAATAAAAAGCATGTTTCTTCCTCAAAAAAAAACAAAAAAAAACTTGCATTGCATAAAAAATAACTTGTCAAGGCAAATGAGATTCTCTACACATTAATGAGATTCCCACAACACTTTCAAAACCATAAGAAAAAAATGCAAAAAAAGCCAGAATTGAGCCAAACTTAGTAGCACACACAGACTGTGTGTTGCGAAACAAAAAAAAAAACAAATGTTTTACTGATAGGCAAAAAACAGGACTCAGCCGACATGACGGCCGATGTGCATACATACACATGTGGACGATAACCCTTTTTCAAGCAAGCCAAAGGCGAGCAAACTAAAAAAAAGGGACATATATACATTTTCATTTGCATGTATGTATGTGTGTGTGTTCTGAAAAAAATCCCCCAAAACTGAAATGCCAGACAAGGCAGGCCAGACCAGGGCAGACGAGACCAGCCCGAACCAAGCCAGCTAACATAAAAAACTGCCCAAGCGGCGGCCGCCACCGCGCTGTTACCTTTACCGCAGCAAAGCAATCTGCATGAGGAAATGGGTGTGCAACGTGCATAAAAAATACATGAATGTATGTATGTACGTATGCACGCAAACAAAATTGACGTAAACAATATCGGCGCTATATGTATGCATTGCGCATGCGTACGAACCCTTAACCCGTTTTTGGTGTGTTTGTTGTATGCAAAGTAGAGGATGATTGAGCGGTGTAGCGGGGTGTTAAAGATTCATTCAAATTCAGTAAGCAACAGCGCTGAGCGGAGAATACATAGAAAGAAAAAAAAACACAAGCAAATGCAAAAACACATGAAATTAAAAGGATCATCACCGCCGTGAACAGCTCTGCACTGCTCGTTAGATACGCATGAAGAGCAGCAAGAGTGATAAACCCGAAGGGACAGGCAGACAGGACGATATTTGTATTTTTTGATTTTTTTTTGCACTTTTTTCAACACTTTCGATATTTTTTTGTACTAAAAGCCAGAAAAAAAATGCTTGTGCATTCAAATTAAGCGTGTGAACTATTGAAGATGCTGCGCCGTTTGATCAAAATGATTTGAGCAAATAATCAAAAAAAAAAAAAGTGAAATGATAGAAAAAAACTCTTTAATATGTGGGAATTATAAGGAAGAAAAGTTGAAAGAATACAGAGAAGTTTTCTGGGATTTTTGAATTATGTATTTGTATAGGTATGTATGTAAGAGGCTATGAGCTCTTGGCGCTATACACATGGTTCAGAATTTTATAAAAAAATTGACTTAAAGATATTAAAAAAAAACTGAATAAGTGAGGCCACTGCGCGAGGAAGAAGTGCAACTTCAAAGGAAAAAAAATCCAGAAAGGGCGAAGTTTGCAATAGGTTAGGTTAGGTTATTGGGATCGTCTATAAGACAGGGCCCATTGTGATACCGTATATCGATGGCTGAGTGGAAGATCGATCTGTATCGGCAGCCAGTTCGAAAACGCCCTATCTCTGAAAATTTTTCAACAACGCCTTATTTCAGAATTTGATTGAAAACCACCCAATCTCAGCTGCCGATTCAAAAACGCCCTATCTCAAACGAAAATACGCTCAACTCTATGTCTATGTCTATGTCTATGCCTCAGTCTAAGTCTATGTCTATGTCTAAGTCTGTGCCTATGTCTATGTCTGCGTCTATGTCTATGTCTATGTCCATGTTTACGTATATGTCTATGTCTACGCCCAACTCTATGTCTATGTCTATGTCGATCTATGTCGGCTTCGGAAAGGACCCTGAAGGTCAGGCCTTTTTAAATTTTTACGATTATTAGCATATATTTCCTTATTAGTACTACGTAACATATCTAACAGTTTTAATAGCTTCCATTTGTAATCCAAAATTTTGTCTATTCTCTTTTACAGTGGTGGCTACCTCACGTCCAAACAATGGGGCCGAAACGCAACTCTATCGCGTACTTCAACGTGCCAGCTTACTTGTCTACTACGACACGCTGCTGGAAATGGGCGGTGATGATGTGCAACAACTGTACGAAGCAGGTGAAGAGGAATTTCTGGAAATCATGGCCCTAGTAGGTATGGCTTCGAAACCTTTACATGTACGACGCCTACAAAAAGCATTACACGAGTGGGCCAACAATCCAGTGCTGTTTCAGGGTCCCTTAAGTTCTACGTCTAGCACACCAGGTACTTTTAAGCATAGAACTTTATTACATCGAACACTTTGTCACACATTTTCTTCTACTGCCTTCACAGGTCTCTTCGACACCCCCACCAAATCGCCAGCGCTCCTCATGAAACCCGATGTATCGCCATCGTTCACACGCACCGCGTTTCCCTCCTTCAATCCTGCACCCGCCTTTAATCCCACACCTCTAGCCGCCACATCCTCCCACCTAATTTCACAAATGTGTCAGCCTATGATTTCGGTGCCCGTCATCCAGCCACACACCCCAATGCCACTTCCTGCAACTGTCCTACCTGCTGCCGCTACGCCCCAAGCGCCGCCTATACTAAGCGCCTCTACTGGTGCCGGCAGTACGGCTGGCACTACACATCAAGTATCCTCCAGCTCGCCTCAACTTACGCCTGTGCTCACGGAAATGCAAGTGGCGCGCATAACGCAAGGTGCTGAGAAAATTGCACGCCAACTGCCGCAACGCGAACCGCGCGCACACACGTCAAAGAAACGTACCAGTCGCGAGCTGGAACAAGTGATCGCTATGCATGAGAATGATCCGCGACGCATGGATGAGATACGTAAGTACTCGGCCATCTATGGACGTTTCGATTGTAAGCGTCGGCCAGAGAAACCGCTTACGCTGCACGAAGTTTGCGTCAATGAGGCAGCGGCGCAGCTGTGTCGATTAGTGCCACCACTGTTGACGCGTCGTGATGAACTCTTTCCGCTAGCGCGTCAAATTGTTAAGGATGCCGGTTTTGGGCATTCGGCGAGTATAGCGCGTTATGGGGGCCTGTTACCGCAAGTAATGCAGGCACAGCAGGCGATGGCGCGTTCCGTTGCCGTCTTGGATTGTGAATCGAGTGATTCGATGGCGTCTGCGTCGGGTAAGCGTGCGCGTTTGGCCTCCACCGAGACAACGAGCGCGGTGACGCCTGCCGATTTGGGTCTGAGTCGGGTAAGCAAATAAAGTTCTGATAAGTAGATAAATTGCGCCAAGGCTGGCTGCTATGCGAACGCCTGCAATTAACTAATCCAGAATGCTTTTTTTTGCTTTTCAAATATGCTTTAGCTTCAGCTTACGGTGGCTCATACGAAGGAAAACGCTTGGGTCGAGAGTATTGGCAATGTACTCATATTTTCTTTATAATTAGGGGCTTTATTTTCAATTTAATTAAAAAAATATTTATTACCACACGGGACGGAAACAATATACAATTAATTTTTCTTGTTACCTTCTTGGAGCATTCATTTTGCCCTAAACTATTTCCTTACAGTTGTCATTCCGCGTTTACTTGACTAAAGAAACTTATTCAATACCCTATACTTCTTCATCTTAAACCGAAAAGCTCTTCTCTAAATACTCCTGCTCCAGAAAATGCTATATTCTCGTCGTTAAAACAATTACACCTTTGAGACAAGTTGCGATCGTCCAAAATTATATATATAAACACATATTAGAGAGGATTTTTCTAGTCGCTTAACTAATTTTTTTAGCCTCAAACCTCATGCGGCTCAAATTCTCCTGGCAGAAACGATCAAGGTTGGATGGAAAAATACCGTGGCTGCATTAGATGAAAATAGTCGGATCATTTCTTTTTATTTGTTGATTCTTAGCACTGGGTAAGAGGGGATGTGTTTCGAAACAAATTTTTGTCAAAAGTACATCATCGTTGGATAATTTTCAAACTATGGTATTCTGTTAGGGCGTGGCTAATTTGAAAATAGACTTTTCGTCAGGAGTAATAAATACCCAAATACTTTTTACCAGAGATGTAAAGTAATCCCTTTAATCACAGNAATGCGAACGCCTGCAATTAACTAATCCAGAATGCTTTTTTTTGCTTTTCAAGTATGCTTTAGCTTCAGCTTACGGTGGCTCATACGAAGGAAAACGCTTGGGTCGAGAGTATTGGCAATTTACTCATACTTTCGTTATAATTAGGGGCTTTATTTTCAATTTAATTAAAAAAGGTTTATTACCACAAGGGACGGAAACAATATACGATTAATTTTTCTTGTTACCTTCTTGGAGCCTTCTTTTTGCCCTAAACTTTTTTCTTACAGTTTTCATCCCGCGTTTACTTGACTAAAGAAACTTATTGAAAACCCTATACTTCCTCATCTTAAACCGAATAGTTCTTCTCTAAATACTCCTGCTCCAGAAAATGCTATATTCTCGTAGTTAAAACAATTACACCTTTGAGACAAGTTGCGATCGCCCAAAATTATATATATAAACACATATTAGAGAGGATTTATCTAGTCGCTTAACTAATTTTTTTAGCCTCAAACCTCATGCGGCGGAAATTCCTGGCAGAAACGATCAAGGTTGGATGGAAAAATACCGTGGCTGCTTTAGATGAAAATAGTCGGATCATTTCTTTTTATTTGTTGACTCTTAGCACTGGGTGAGAAGGACATTTTGTCAAAAGTACATCATTGTTGGATAATTTTCAAACTATGGTATTCTGTTAGGGCGTGGCTAATTTGAAAATAGACTTTTCGTCAGGAGTAATATATACCCAAATACTTTTTACCAGAGATGTAAAGTAATCCCTTTAATCACAGATAGGAAAAATAAAGTAAGGGTCAGAATTTGTTTCAAAAACGCCCTATCACAGCTAAAAATATATTATAAATGTGCTGAGATAGGGCACTTTTGAATCGGCAGCTGAGATACGGCGTTCTTTAATCAAATTCTGAAACAGGGCGCTCTTCAACCAAATTCGGAAGTAGGGCGGTCTTGAAAAGTTTTCTAAGATAGGGCGTTTTCGAACTGGCTGCGGATATATATAAGTCGATATTCCACACAGGTATCGATATCCTCAAAATAAAAAACAATGTCTAAAATTTAAACTCGATGAATTTGTTCAAAACTAGAATTATTTTGCATCGAGTTTAGTTGATTTTTAACCGATTTCCAAAAAAGGAGGAGGTTATCAGTTCGTCGGAATNAATTTTTGAATCGGCAGCTTATTCTTCTTCAATCAAATTCTGAAATAGGGCGCTCTTCAATCAAATTCTGAAATAGGGCGTTCTTGAAAAGTTTTCTAAGTTAGGGCGTTTTCGAACTGGCTGCGGATATAGGTCTTCCACTCAGGTATCGATATCCTCAAAATAAAAAACAACGTCTAAAATTTAAACTCGATGAATTTGTTCCACACTAGAATTATTTTGCATCGAGTTTAGTTGATTTTTAACCGACTTCCAAAAAAGGAGGAGGTTATCAGTTCGTCGGAATATATATTTTTTTTTTGTTTATGTATGTTACCGATGAACCGATTTCGATAATTCTTTTTGCATCGGAAATGTAGTGTCTCAGAGGGNACCGATTTCGGCAATTCTTTTTGCATCGGAAAGGTAGTGTCTCAGAGGTGGTCCCATACTAATCTGGTTTAGTTCCGATCATTGGATCATGAAATATATATATATATTTTTTTTTTAAGTCGTTTTTTTTTTTGCTAAAAATTACTTGTTTCCTGTAGTTCTTTGTAAACATATATTTATTTATTGCAATACATACCTATGTATGTATATGTATTATTTAGCAATGATATTTTTATCACAGACTCAAGAAAATAATTACAGTATTAACAAAAGGTATTAAAAAAATAGTTGTTATTAAACTAAAAATATTTTAAATTAAGTAATTAGATTGCAATAGCACGAGATTATAGTTACAATTGTTTTATTACACTTCTAGAATAACTATTTTAAAATGTACTATTTATGTATTTATTTAATTTTATTCTTGTATTTATTTTTATGTTATTATTTTATTTTATTGTGTTTCAGTTTTATTAAATTTTTAAAGAAATTTGATTTTCTTCTTTTTTCATTTTCTTAATTTTACTTTATTTTAAATTTTTTTGTATGTCGTTTTTTATTTAAAATTTTTTACTTGGCTCAATTTTTTGTAATTTGTTATTTATGATTTATTACGTTTTTTTGTTAAAGTTGTTATTTGTTTATTATTTCCAAAAAATTTTATTCAACTGCTTTTGTTTCTTTATTTTCTTTAGTTTAAAATTTTTATTTTTCTTTATTGTAATTCGTCCGAAAAAATTTTTCCTTTCTGTTTTGATGTAATATGAATAATATATATTTTTTTTTGTTATTTTATTTTATTTTATTTTGTTTTTTTGTTTTTTTGTTTGTTTACTTAAAAAACATTTTTTAAGCTTTATTTTCTACTTATTTTGTTTANATATCATTTTTATTTTATTTTATTTTGTTTTATACTATTTTTATTCCGTTTACTTAAAAAACATTTTTTAAGCTTTATTTTCTACTTATTTTGTTTATTTCATTTGTTTAATTTTTAGTTCTTTTTTTACATTACTATGCATATTATTATTTTTTATATTATTTCAAAAAATATAGTTTTACTGCTTCGTCCAATATAATTTTTTTCATTTCTGTTTGATGTAATATGATTGATTTTTTTTTCATTTTGTTTTATAATATTTTTTATTGGCGGCCGTTTCACAAATAACCCTGGTCAAAGCAACATCGCAAAAAAAATTTAGAAAAAACGTTTCTTCTTCTTCTTAGCAGCGGTCGACCCTCGGCAGGCAATGGCAAACCTCCGACGGTATTTCTGCCATTAAAAACAGCTTCTCATAAAAAAATACAATCGCCCCTCCCCTTTGCGTGGACGAGGAGAAACTCGGCTAAACATGTTTATTCTGTATATATTTTATTTATTTCATTTCTTTAATTTGAAATTTTTTTTTAAGTTTATATAATTTTACTTTTACTATACATATTTTTTTTTTATTTTTCTTTCATTTGGGTTTTATTTGATTTTTTAACTTTCCTTAGTTTTTATAAAGTTAAATAATGGTTTGTTTAAAATTAATTTTTTATTTTATCTTAAATTCTTTTTTGTTAATTTTTGGCTTATTTCTTATTTATCTTTTTTAAATGTTTTATTTCAAATTTATTTTATTTTATTTCGCCTTATTTAATTAAATTTATTTCTTTTCTAATTAAATTTATTTTTTAATATTTTTATTTCATTCATCTACTATTCAAATTTTTCTCTACTTTTTTTTTTTTTTCATTTTATTTTTTGCTTTACTTGTTTATTTTATTTCAGTTTTTATTTTGTTAATTGTTTCTTTAGCCACAAAAAATTGTTATTTGATTTAATTTTTATTTTCTTACTTTATTTGTTAATTTCATTTATTATTTAATTTTTATTTTTAATTCTAATTTGAATTTAAACTGAATTTTTTTCTTATTTTATTTTATTTTTCATTTTTCTTTCTGTAGTTTTGCAAATTTTTAGTAACTTATACAAATTATAGTAATTGGTTTAACTTGAAATTTATTTAATTTTTACTGTGGATAATGGTTGCTTTCTGNACCACTAGGCGGCGTACAAGTTATCTCGGCAGCCGGCGGTCACATCATTGCTGTGGCGAATCCAGCGCTGGCACTGAGTCCAACACTCAATGAGGCGCTGAGTCTGAAGCGTGAGGCGAATTCACCGGAATTGTAAACACTATGAGAAAGGAAGGAGGAGGGAGCGTTTGAAAATTGGGTTGGGAAGTAATGGACTCAAGCGCGATTAAATATTTCACAGTTCAAAACTTAAGTACATAAATAGATTTTTAGTTTTAATTTGTTCGTTATGAAATGAAAACAAAGAAAGATAAATATTATGAAATCGTGCAATTTATGTAGAGTAAGTAATTTATTAGATTACATACTTATGTACATATATGTAGTTATACTGTAAATAGAAAAACTTTAAAAAATATAAACAATTGATTTGCACATTTTTAAACTACCACGAACCACAATGAAACTGCCTTTTATGTGTAAAGTTAAATAAGGAAATAAATGTTGAAAATCATTCACTATAATTTTAAATAATTTCATTGAAAAGAAAAATGGAAAATCCAAATTCAAATACATACAAAAATAGTGTGTGTTTGGAAAAATCGGACCACTACAAGATATAGCTAATTGTTCAGATATGAGATTTTGTGATACAAATCTTTCATTTATGCAGATAGGAACAGGAGTCAGATTGGGATTTAGCACCAAAAAATCTGCAAGATACGATTTGTTTTACTCGGCTGGTAAAAAAAAATTTAAAATTTGTCGAACTGTGTAATAGATGCATCCTTTTGCAACCGAGCTACAAAAGAACACTCGCTTAAATGATAAAATATGTACATGCACAACAACAACACAAACTTGGATATATATCCGAGTTTAGCCTGGTCGGTTAAAAAATACGTGACCTGAAGGGTAGTGCCGTTGATTGAAAACACTGCCCTATTTTGAATTTTTAATGAGTAAGTGGAGAGGGAATCTTTGTTTCCTTATATATGTACATGACCACGGCCGATATGGTGGAGTGGTTGGAAGTGCGCGCTTCCACTCCGCATGACGTGGTCAAAGCAATATCGCAAAAAAATGTAGCGAAGGGACCGACTCCGAGCGGCGATTGTATTTTTATGAGAAGTATTTTTTATGGCAGAAATACACTCGGTGGTTTGCCATTGCCTGCCGAGGGGCGACCGCTGTTCAGAAGAAAGTTTGTGTAACAACATCAAGGCGCACGCCACAAATCGGAGGAGAAGCTCGGCCAAACACTAACATATGTATAAGCGCCAATCGATTATTATTATTATTAGGGTGGTCCTTAAATGTAAGAAGCAAATTTTTATATCAGATTTCCTAATCCTAAACCCTTTTGTCGATGCTACTACAGGCGAGGATACCACATATAAATTTTGGTTCCGATTGGAGTCGGATAAGACGTGTCTCACAGGGGTCAAACTTCAGATTATCCTATGAAAACGTCTTAAACGATTGCAATCGGGACCAAAATTTGTATGTGATATCTGTGATCGTGGTATTACTGATTGAGGGGGTCAGACTGAAAAAAATCGTTCGTTTGATTTTAAGGACCACCTTTATATACCTACATACATAGATGATTTTACCAAAAAAAAAAAATATTTACTTATACCATATATACATATGCATTAGTAGTATCCTAAATTCCATACGGAGCAATTAAACTCAATCTTTTCTCGACTCTATTTGGCTGTAACGCTCGCGACAACTGAGTTTAGCGAATATATGTAGAACCCTGTCGTTGCTCATCGACCACTTCTCTACTAGTTTCATGGCATAGCAAATCTAAGTATTCGAAGTAGTTTGTAGATTTTGCAATTCCGCATGAGCGTAGGACACATTTCTCTCCCATACATTGTGCTACTGTCCTTACTTGTTTCCATTATTTTCCGTAGTGTAGAACTGAGTGGAACAGCATTTCAACTAAACACCGTATAGTGGTAGTGGCAATATTTTGTATATTTACATACATATTACATATGTATATAAATGATTTATTATTTGTATACAAATTTCAACAAAAAACAAAAGAACACAAAAAAATTAAATTCAATATGCATACATAGTATGATATACAAATCTACATTACACGTATGTATATTACAAATACAACGCAAAAACAAAAATTAATTCAAATTATTCGCCCTCATAAGAGCTAATCTCTCAAAGTTCTTGTCGCTCAAGTTTTCTCCGATAGTCGCGTCCACCATCCCCCTAAAAGCAAATAACCGTTCAACGGGAGCAGAAGATGTTATTGCGGTATTGCATTTGAGGAAAACATCTTTAACTAACGAGTAGTTTTGAAGCGAGTTCAGAGACGTAGATTTATCCAGTAAATATGTTTCGAACTGATGCCGAGCACCATCTCGTTGAAGGTTCTTGTAATCAGCTAATATAAAAGAAAATAAAGAAGAAAAAAATTATTGTTTTGAACTATTTAATTTCTTACTCACGTTTGGTATCTCCGAAATCCAAAAATGAGTTTGGCATATCAAGTGTTCCAAATTCTGTTGATGCTTCCGTATAATCGCAGCAGTGTGCCGAATACTTAAGGAACCAGTCTTTTAATAGTTCAGCACTGAGTTGTGGTGCCGTTCGCTGCAAAACGGGTAAGAATCTTAATTTCAGTGCTGGACACGTCATCGTTGCGACAATGGCTACCTCCGACTCTTTATCGCCTTAAAAGGTATAGTTTATTATTGCTTAATTATGTATATCTACATACTAAAATAATTCTATAATTACCTTCAAAGTAGGTTTTGAATCTTTTCGTCAAACAATTTATCATTTCGCCACATACTGGAGATAGTGCGCGCAGCTCATTGGTTTCTTGTAGTCTACCCAATTTAACCTTCAGAGACATAAGCGCAGCAATAAAATTTCCGAAGTACATATTTTCTTCATTTTGTAAAAAGTCAATGGCACTGGCTATAGGCTCCATCAGCTTCGCATAGCTCTCCAAATATTCGATATCTGGCGGTGTAAATTTTGCAATATTTAGTGCTGTACATAGAAGCGATAATTTGTCTTTATGTGCTAATAGATTCTGCACGCTGTCAAATAAAGAATTCCAACATGTGACTCTTGGAGTCTTTAGTGATGAGGATAATATGCCTTGTATTAACGTTGCCGATTTTGGGCGTGCACATTTGTGCCATATATTGGAGCAGCTGGAAAAAAAAATTAAATTAAAAAAAATACTAAATACTAACAGCTTATGTACAAATTGTTACCGCATGAATGCCTGCTTGTGTCGCGAATACAACTTTTTATTTTGTTTGATGATGTTTAGAAAATCAGTTGAGGACAATAGATTTAGTGTGTGACTGGCACACCTAAAATATTGTGGCAGTTCTAATGGTGTGTCAACAAACTTAACTCGCTCCTCTTCAACGAAAGACTCTTCTGCTGAATCACTACTACTCTCAATACTTTCTTCCGCTACATATTAAAAAAAAGTAGTAAATCTTAAGTTTTTATGAGATACTTTACAAAAATGTCTGACTTCAAAATTACCTGTTAGACCATATTCTTTGAAAGCCTTACAAAAGTTCGCACCATTGTCTGTTATAGTCAACTGTAACTTATTATCTTCCAAATTGAATTCTTCATGGATAGAGGCAATCAGCTGCGCAATCCTCTCATAGCTAGGGCTGCCTTTAAAACGGCGACAAGCCAAAGCTATATGGCTACGTTTGAAAGTAGTTGGGCATAGCCAATGGCAGGTATATCCAAGAAATGATATCTCTCCAGCCGACCAAATATCCGCGGTTGTACAATAATATTGCACTGCGTTTAATAAATCTTTCGTTTCTGCTAACCACTGCAAATGTTTTTCCTCTAAAATATCTGCCATTACGCGCCTGCTTTTGAACTCTATCTGTAAGCCTTTGAATAGATTTTTAAATTCAGGTTTTTCCACGGTACTCAAAGGACTATAGGTCGCGGCTAGAAACATCAAAACTCTTTCGTCGAAATCGTTAGTCTTTTTCGGCTTGTTTTCCATTTCAATTTTTTTCCTTTGCTCATATTGTTTGAACTCATTTTCGTGGTATAGGCGCAAATGTCTTATAAAGTTTGAGGAGACACCCAACGAACCTTTAATTTTTTGCGGACACATTCTGCATTGCACTAGTATTCCTTCCATTCTCCTCAAGTAATCCGTTTCATCTCTCTACATATGTAAATAAAGATAAGAAAACATGAAGATGCAATTCAAATTTTTGCTAACCTACCTTTTGAATAACACTAAAAAATCCATTTTCAAAGAGAATGCGGTTGACTCCCTTAACGTTTAATTTTTGTAATGTTCCAGTTGCTTGCTCGTCTTCTTCATAGCGTCTATTTGTGTTTTAAGATTTCAAAAAAGATTGTATATGACCAGACATGGGCATAGTGCACTAAATCTCAAGTACCACTAATATTGCAAATAGTGGAGCTTATTGTTTTCTTATCCCACTAAAGTATGGTGGGACTAAGTTTCTTTCACTGCACTGAGAAAAAAAGGAAACCATATCCTCATTGTTTCAAGGCAAAACACATATCATTTTGCGCCAATTTTACTTTAACCCTCTCAGGCCCGTATGAATATATTTAAAAAACTCATGATTTACTTAAAAGGTAAATTGTGGTTCATCAAGGATTAGATAAATAATGAAAAAAATTTTATGTTATAAAATAGTATCTCCTAAAATGTTCGTTAATATCAATTAAAGTGTTTTTTTCCAAACAAAAATTTTTTTTTCAAAGACTTAATTTTTCTTCAAAATAATTTTTTTTCAATAAAATTGCTTTAAGTATTGTATTTCGCCTTTGATATTATTATTTTTTTTATTTCTGATAAGATATCAAAACAAACTTTTTCCGAACGTATAATTTTTACCGAAAACTCTTTATTTTCCCAAAAACTTTTAATTTGTTTTCTTTTTCTAAAATTCCATGATAAAAATACTCAGCTAAATGAATTTGAGGCACATTTAAAACAAAGAAAATATATATGAAACTACTTAAAACTTTTGGGAAATATATTTCCCATGTTCCTAAAAGGGTTAAACTGGGCCCGCGGCATTCGTGATAGAATGACTTTACGTTTCGAATCGAATCGAGGAAAATTACAGCTGTTTTCTCCCCAAAACAATTCAAATTAACGAAGCGCATTTGCTATCGAATGCCGTGGTCTCAAAATCAAATTTGGAATCGAGTTGCGTTCGATATCGAATCGGCGATTCGGGCCCAGATCTATTTTTGGAGGTATTTTCGTTTGAGCACCATTTCGTTCTGCACTTCACAGATGCTTTTTCGTAATAAAGAAAAAAATATATAAATTATACGTTCCGTCTAATGGCATTCGAACCCGGACCCTCCTGAAAGCTAACAAATAGTAGCAAACATCTCAAATATTAATCAAACAGATTCTGACCGCGGCTAGCCTTTACTACCCCCACAAAATAAAATAGGCGCTCTACAGGAGCAGAGGACGGAATGGGGGTGTTAAATTTTTGATAGATTTAGTGAAAATAGTTTTTAAACCACTAATATTACCTTAGTGGAAATTTTGTCAGCTCCACTATCACTAGGCTTGTAGTGTAAAGCATTGTGCACTACCACTGAAAACAACAATGGTAGAGAGCAGTGATTTTTCAACTAATAAATGTTTGTTCATGAAATCAACCAGCTCCACTATCGCTACCGCAGTGGTATTTAAAAGCGCAGTGCACTCAAGGATTAGTGCACTAAGCCCATGTCTGTATATGACAGTAGTTTCTTACCCAATATCCAATGCCGCACTTCTTGGAAATTTTGCTGGTATATACTCCACACTGTTTCCTTTCCGTTTTATTGAAATACAAGATCTGATATTTTTTGATTCTTCTACACCAAAAGTGGGATCCACCACACCACCATCCTCGGCATCGGAATTAAAATCGAACATCTTATTTTTGAAACAGCGCACGGCAAACAAAAATTACTAACTACACTTTTTGGTCGCACGTTTTCCTTATTTGTCAAAATTGCACTAATCAACTGCATCACATCAGCAGGTAAAGTTAATAAAGTTATAGCGAAGCTTTTATGCCCTACACCGCTACTATTTAAGTAGTAAGTAGTGCAAATCTACCACGGTATGCATTTGGCTGTAGCTAATTCAGTAACTACATACGAACACTAGCTTTTAAAGTAGGGTACAACCAAAAGTGCATCTTATGCGTTGATGCGTACATTACAAAAACAGCAATGCATTGCTTATGCGCAAGCCTAGAAGTATGCACCCTTTAGTGCAATATATGTATATTCATATTCCATTATCACTACGGAAAATAAATTAGTGGTGTAATATTTTCTTCCACTACTCAGAATATTTAGTGGAAGAAAATTGTTTAAGGACTACTTTTTATTTAGTGGAAGCTTTTTACCTCCACTACCAGCAAGCTTGTAGTTGAAAGTTGATTTTACAATCACTAGAAGCAAGCTCTCCTCCGATTTTTGGTGTGATCCGCTTTCACGCTGTCACACAAAATGGAGGGACATACAATTTTACGTCTCATAGTGATTTGAAGCTGGAGTTTACTTTTCATAATACTCCACAACCTTCATTTTTCAAACCAATTTGATAATTTTTTTTATGAAATCCTATTTGCAAAAGAGCTGTGGAGCCCGATTTTTGAATTTTTATTGGTTTTTATTAAATTTTGTAGTAAAAAGTGCATAAAGAGTAGCAATTTTGAGGAGAATCGATTCCTAGTTGAAAACCTCTAACACCAAAACGAAAAATTCGCGAGAAAAATTTGAAATGCTATAAAAAACTTTTTACCACAATTAAAAAAAAAAATATTTTTTTTTTGAATTTTTAGAAAAGTTTTAGGTATGCACTTTTATAGCTCTATGAATTTTAGTATCATAAATTGCTAAGCACTCGCATTGATTTTTCATAATTTTTTTACCTAACAGGGCTAGGCATTCCATATAAAAAAACATTCCAAGCACACTTTATATGGAAGAAAATGCCTGGCACCATGATGAAAAGAATATTTTAAAAGTATGAGATTTCCTAGCCATTTGAAACTTTGCATTACACAAAAAAAAAAAAAAAAAAACATTGAACTATAGTACTGTATAACTAAAATTTTTCAAAAAATTAATAATTAATGATTATTTCTTTTTCTGCACTTTGCACAAAAAAATTTATAATAAAAATTCAAAAATCGGACTCTTATAAATTTGATAAGATTTCATTTAAAAAAAAAATTCATATTGGTTGAAAAATGAAGGCTCAGGAGGTGTGTGAATTCCAGTTTCAAAGCACTGTGCGCCTCCGAACAGCAAATGGTTTTAATGAGAAGCTTTTTTTCATGACACAGATATATTCTCCAAGCCAGTGTTGCCGTTATTGGAGTTTTCCTATCAAATTTGGTAAAATGTTTCCTCTCTGCTGGCTGTTATGTAGTTCAAAAGGAATTTTGGTAGATTTTAATCACACTTACATACATGTATAGAAAGACAACAAATATACCACAAACATGCTTAAAAATTTTCAAAATACATATATACGGAAATTAATTCTATACTAACTGAGCTTTAAGTCCTGCCTATAATCAAAAGCTATAGCTGTGCTACTAACTCAATGCGGGTCACTTCATAGATACGCGTGTTAAAGCTTTTCAAAGCTCTATATACAATTTATATACGGCTGGTACAAAATAAAAGTTTTCGATGGCCAGCATTGCACTAAACCGGTGACAGGTACCGCCTTCTCTGCGGCCAAAGCTCTTTTACGTTTACATTTTTTATAGACGTGTCCGTAGTTAAAGCTCTCTCTTTGCCTATCGCTGCATTAAAAAGAGTTTGGAAAATCTCTTGTCTTAGTTAATTTCGTAGAATAACAAATGACAATGAATATGGCAAAAACTTAAACCCATTTATCTCCAAATTAAATTTAAAATATATTACAAAAATCGAGTGCTCACCACCAAAATAAAGGCAAGGTTTGAGCTCAATATATCAGCTTTATACCTCTCTAGAACCTCGCGGTTTTTTTATATTCTAACCACCTACGAAACAAATCTGTTTAATGATGCCATGTCGTATGCGATAAAAGTCGGATAACTTGATGGATCAGAGCAGAGCATAAGGTGGAAGAAAAAAGTGGCAGACCATTGGCTGGTCAAATTCTTTACGGTACCCCTTTCAGTCACAGGGTACAGAGACGAAACTTCAGTTTTGATGGGTTTTGAAATCTTTTAATGGGGATTTTGGTAGGAAAAATACACGTCTGAGTGGCAGCACTGCAAGTAGGTTTACCATTTCCTGCCGTAAAGCGACCGCCATTTGAAAAAAAGACTATCTCCTTAGATATGTACATATGTAGACTGCCCGAAAGGCCAATATTTGGCCCCAATAAGAAAATACCCGAACATAACTGGAATCTAAATACAAGTGGAAAGCAAGCTGCGCTCAAGTCTTTTTCATCTTACTGGATTAAACCGTTAATCACTGTGGAAAGATCACACGGCTCAGTTAGTCAATAAACGTGGACTCTCGTCCTCGAAATAAGCGAGAATTCCTGACCCTCCTATAATACACAGCGTACATCTTTGCTCTTAAGTCACCTTAGGGGCTTTTATGGGCTTACATGACATAAGACTAGATAGTGGAAAACCAGTATTACGCACCCTTGGCAAACCATTTAATAATACCTGGCATAGATTTCACAGATGGAAATAAGCCCATCGACAAGCTCATAACATCGAGAGGGTTGAGTATTCCGAACAGGGATGTGCAGATTTTTGTATTTTTGTAGGTATTGAAAATATCCTTTAAATTAGTTTTATATTAAGCGAATTAGTTTTATATTAAGCGAATAAGAAGGACGAAATTCGAGGATGTGGTCGAGTGCATATTAGTCCTTTTTTGAAGTAATTTATTTTTCAAATTTCAAGTTCCTTTAAGAAAAATCCTGACGTCAGAGAGAAAAACTAAAACCGTAGTTTTATTATATTTGACCCATGGTTTCGCGAATATATAAAATTTACTAACGCACGGTGTAATTAAAAGTATTTTATCTCCCAATTTACCAATAATCTCTACTTACACACCCATTTCAATTTCATTCAATTCTGCTCGATTACAATCGTATCGCAAACAATTAAGTTTATTGATATTTTTCCAACATTGATCACACCGATCAGTAGCGAGAGATAAATATCTCTATCAATCGCAAATATTTATTCACCATTGAAATGCTAACAATTGTCTGCCTTTGTGGCTGATTTGATCGCCTTTGTAGTATGAGTACACAACAGCAACTTCATACATACAAATATGCTTATTGACTTGCGACTACCACAACCCTTTCAGCATCAGCAGAAAAGAAAGGAACCATTGACATGCACATACATATGTATGTATGTACGTATGTGAGTCAAAGGCAGGGTGCCATCCTTACAAATTTTTGCCATAGTCTGCTTTCATCAGATGTCAATAAATTTCGATAATAACAATATTTGGTAAATGCCAGTAGCAATGAGATGGGAAAGTATGCAAATATTAGTGAAGGAAGAAATCGATCGAGCTGATCGCACGCAAATTGAAAATGCATTGTCACGTGGGCTTTGTTTGTACGAGGAGGCTTGTAGCATACACACACACACACACGCACTTACACAGAGTTAGGCTACTCAGAGGGTATAAATGTTATTTGCAAAACAATGCAAATCTCTTTCATATACATACTTAAGTATTTACCTAACTCACCTCCTCCCCACAGCAGTGTGATATGTTAATTTAGCATTCGAGAATGCAATTTTCCCTTTTGATCTAAGTATGCAAATCATTTAATGCAAATGCGATTTTGAGTGTTGAATGCAGATAATTTACATGTTGAAATATGCAAATCTTTGAGGAAATTTCGCGACCACCCATCAGCATTGCTACTTGAGTTTTTAAGTATTTAAGGTTATTTGCCCCTTTTTTTCTACGATGGCCTAATGAATGAATGCGCTGCGCCATGTGCGAGTAAGTATTGTGAGAAATCACGCTTTACTGCATCCAAATGCGCCGATAGCGTCTTGTGGGCAATACACAAATAGTATGTACTTCCATGTGTTGTTGTGGTGTAAAGATGCTTACGAGTAAGTATTTAATCCTTTCGTTACATCTCTACACAAGTCATATGTTCGCTTAAAGGAAAATCATAATCCTTTGTAGTTAGCAGCCTAAATATGTAAAAATGTCTTAGAATCACAAAAAAAATGCCACTCGCGAGCAGCTGTTGAAAATTTAAATAACAAAAAAACACCAAATGCAAGGAAATCTTAAACAACATCAGCGGCATGTGCCCCAACACTTTTCCTTATCATTACATCATTATGGCAGAGGATCCGTGAAAAGCGCGGGTGAAAGTATGTATGTATGTAAATGGCATTGTATGCAGGACTTATTCAAATAAGATTGCGACTGACTGCTTACCACAACAAAGCGTTGATGAGATTTCAAAGAGAGGATAAGTAAACCATGAAAGGTTGCATTTCAGTCGAGTAGAGGGGTTAGAAAAGTTTTTAAAAATAAAGGTGGCATAAAAAAGCAGGAAAAATCAAACAGCTGCTGCGTTGTTTCGGAGAATCCCTCTTTAATAAATAAAATATGTGTATGAGGGAATAGTTTCTTTATATTTAATAAAATGGAAATTTACTTACTTCATTCCTATTTCGAAAAGTTATTATTATATTTTTTTTTAACTAAGTAATTCCGTAATTTATAATTGTCGATTCTTTAACTAATCTTGTACATATACTGTTGTGAAAAGTTGCGGTTAAAAAAGAGGCCTACTTCCGACTCATCCAAGATTGCCTCATAAGGCTTAGACTTAATAATTTATAGCAAAAATTCACCATCTCTACAACTTCAAACAAAGTTCCAGCATACAAATACCTAGGTTGGGTTGGCTGGAGATCAAAACGAACCCCTCCCCATATGTAGGCCAAGACCAATAGTCTCGTTGGGATACTAATGCTGGCATTGAGTAGGTCAGTCT